TAGTTTTAGTAAAAAGTTGGCTAATTTTGTTTATACATTTTTGAAACAAACTACATAATCATATTGAAATATGGCCAAATATTGTCAATTGCCATGTCAACAAAGTTAATCATACTTCACCATGAAGTACTGTAATGGCCAAGCCTAATTTTCATATTACCGGGGGTATGGAACAAAAATATAATTTTGGCTCAGAAATAGGGTACAGCATCATACTCCCTATATGTTCTTGCCCGGCGCAAAACAACCTCCACAGGATCACTGGGCGCAGGACAGCAGGTTCCACGTCTCTTATTCTTGCAATACGATAATGGATGATCATACCTATTGATGAATTACAGGAAACCATTATAACATTTTAATGTTAATGGAAAACATGGGGACATGTCATGGCACCTTTTTAAAAAGCTCTGTTCTGCCCAGAGTACACCATATGGTAGCCAGATACGTTATTTCGTTTTCCGGATATTCAACTGTAAATTTATTTCTTTGACTAATGACAACATATAATTGAATATGTACGTGTTTACATGAACAAATCTGACTCAAGTTTATAAATTTATAAATGCATCGAATTTCTGGTACGAATAACTTGTTAATCTGAAGAAGATTATTTTTCTTTAATAATTCTAAAACAGCACAAATAAAGTGTCAAATGGTAAACTAACATATCTAGTATACCACATTACACATATACAAATGCACAAATGGCCATCTAATTTGCGTATTTCTGGCAGAACACAAAATAAAATATACCCACAAGCACCAGTGACCGGACTTGCATCCAAGAATTATACCAAGAATTGGGTGAATTGGCCAATAACATGATTTTTTACAGATTTAAACTGTTTGCTATGAGTTGCGAGTGTCATTGTGTTTTTGTATTCAATATAATGGTAATTATGTTTATGTTATTGATGTGACTGTTAGATTGATTGATATGGACACATCCGACGAACTGTTCTGAATAATATAAATCTTATCCAACTGGTATCATATATAATGTGCAATGTTGTAGAAGATGAAATTCCTTTTATTACAATAATGAACGTGCAAAAATACAACAATGGACACTCAAGACATACACCTGATCAGACAGGTAGCTAATTATTTAAAAACGTCATTTAGTAAGCATAATACCCTTTGTACAGATTTGTTGTCTTTATTGTCTTGTATTCTACTTTTTTATACTTTATTACTTCAACTTAAGATCAATTGTCATTATTATTATTATTAGTTATTATTATTATTAGTTATTATTATTTTGTAATTTGCCTGTAAACATTTAAATATTAATGCATATGCATATTAATTATGTAACATGACCAAACAATCACGCCCAAGGTAATACATTATGTCTCACTTCCACCGCGTGTAATTCTATCAGTTTGTTTTGGCAACAGTTTAAGAAAAGACCCAATCAGTTCAGGAAAAGGTTAAATAAAACTGTTCACCACCAACATAAAAAATCGGGTCAATTTGGACCATTATATAAAAATTATGTGAGAATATTGTGGTTTATCAGCCATGTTGATTTCATGTGAGAATTGCATTTAGTAGTGCAGAGATTGGCACAGTTTGTAGTGCTGGGACTGGCGTCGTCCGTACTGCGGAGATTGGCGGCGTCAGTAATGTAGAGATTGGCGCAGTTTGTAGTGCAGGGATTGGAGCTGTCAGCAGTGCAGGGATTGGCATCGTCCGTAGTGTAGAGATTGGCGCCGTCAGTAGTGTTGAGATTGGCGCTGTCAGCAGTGCAGGAATTGACATCGTTCGTAGTGTTGAA